GGGGTCGCGCGCGCGTCCCTCCCGCCCGTCCGTCGCGGCGCCCTGGGCAGCAGCGCGCGCCACCCCCCCTCCACCCGCCCACCCGTCCGTTCTGGCGCCCTGGGGGTCTCGCGCCGTCCCCCTCACCATCCCCCGCGCTCCTGCCCCTATCCCACCCGTTTTAGGGTTTCGGGGGTGCGGAGTGTGGGGTTGGTGGTTGTGGGGGCGTCGGTTGTGCGCGCCGTCCCCTTCTCCTCCTCCTCCTTCGTCTCCCACTGCTGCAGCTGCCGCTGAGGGGGGTGGATGTGTGGGAGCCGAGGGTTTAGGGTTTAAGGGGGGTGCCGTGGGAGTGGAGCTAGGGGTTCAGCAGGGGGTGTGTGTCAAGGAGAGGGGGTGGGACTATTGGGGGAGGTTGAGTGGAGGCTGCCGTCTTGTCGTCAGCAGCACCTGTAGTCCGGGGCACTGCCCTGGTAGCCCAGTTGTAGACAGCTGTGCCAGTCGCCCGTGGGTCCGTTGCTCCTGCCGCTCGTCTTAGCCGCGGAGCCAGTTACTCCAGAAGTCCGTGCCGATGTTCCGGTAGCCGCTGTGCCAGTGTGACTCCTGTCGCCCGTGTGTCTGCAGCTTCAGCCGTCGCCTCTTATCTCCTCTCCTCCTACAGTCTCGCCTCCTCCTCCTCACTTGCCCTCTGTGACTGTCTCTAGCTTTGCTCATAAATTGTGAACTACTGCTATGTCTGCTTGTTGTGCTGATTACACCCCACTTTGGCTATGGGGGTGTGTCAGAATGTTATTCTCTAGCCTGTAGTGGGGTGCTCTGTAGCGAGTACAACCCATCTAGGGTTTGCTATATGTATCCTCATTGCTGCTAGTGAAAACCCTCTTCTTTTGCCTAAACTGTCTCTTGCCTAGCTAGGACTCTCCTAGCTATGGCTCCTAACTCTACCTATTATCTAAACATACCAGACCCTTTTCGGCTTGGTTCTTGCGCGAAGAAAAGTTCGGCGCTTACGATTTCGGCCGATTTTGCCGCCAAGTGCCTAGAAAGCGCGTGAATCCCTTTAGGCGTAGGGAAATGCATTCAACAACCTGAATTTTTTTGCATATTCGAGTGGCCCATGTTCAAACACACATACTAGAGCCTTTTTGGCTTGGTTCTTGTGCGAAGAAAAGTTCGGCGCCTACGATTTTGGCCGATTTTGCCGCCAAGTGCCTAGAAAGCGTGTGAATCCCTATAGGCATAGGGAAAAGCATTCAACAACCTCAATTTCATTGCATATTCGAGTGGCCCATGTTCAAATACACATACTAGAGCCTTTTTGGCTTGGTTCTTGCGCGAAGAAAAGTTTGGCGCTTACGATTTCGGCCGATTTTGCCGCCAAGTGCCTAGAAAGCGCGTGAATCCCTATATGCATACGGATAAGCATTCAACAACCTCAATTTATTTCATATTCGAGCGGCCCATGTTCAAATACACATACCAGAGCCTTTTTGGCTTGGTTCTTGCGCGAAGAAAAGTTCGGCGCTTACGATTTCGGCCGATTTTGCCGCCAAGTGCCTAGAAAGCGAGTGAATCCCTATAGGCATAGGGATAAGCATTCAACAACCTCAATTGATTTCATATTCGAGTGGCCCATGTTCAATTACACATACCAGAGCCTTTTCGGTTTGGTTCATGTGCGAAGAAAAGTTCGGCGCTTACGATTTCGGCCGATTTTGCCGCCAAGTGCCTAGAAAGCGCGTGAATCCCTATAGGCATAGGGATAAGCATTCAACAACCTCAATTGATTTCATATTCGAGTGGCTCATGTTCAAACACATCCCATAGCCTTTTCGATTTGGTTCATGCGCGAAGAAAAGTTCGGCGCTTACGATTTCGGCCGATTTTGCCGCCAAGTGCCTAGAAAGCGTGTGAATCCCTATAGGCGTAGGGAAAAGCATTCAACAACCTCAAATTTATTGCATATTCAAGTGACCCATGTTCAAACACACATACTAGAGCCTTTTTGGCTTGGTTCTTGTGTGATGAAAAGTTCGACGCTTACGATTTTGCCGCCTAGTGCCTACAAAGCGCGTGAATCTCTTTAGGCGTAGGGAAAAGCATTCAACAACCTCAATTTCGCTGCATATTCGAGTGGCCCATGCTCAAATACACATACTAGAGCCTTTTCGGCTTGATTCATGTGTGAAAAAAAAAGATCGGCGCTTACGATTTCGGCCGATTTTGCCGCCAAGTGCCTAGAAAGCGCGTGAATCCCTATAGGCATAGGGAAAAGCATTCAACAACCTGAAATTTATTGCATATTTGAGTGGCCCATGTTCAAATACACATGCTAGAGCCTTTTCGGCTTGGATCTTGTGTGATGAAAAGTTCTGCGCTTACGATTTTGGCCGATTTTGCCGCCAAGTGCCTAGAAAGCGCGTGAATCCCTATAGGCATAGGGATAATCATTCAACAACCCGAATGCTAATGCATATTCGAGTGGCCCATGTTCAAATACACCTACTAGAGCCTTTTTGGCCAGGTTCTTGCGCAAAGAAAAGTTCGGCGCTTACGATTTCGGCTGTTTTTGCCGCCAAATGCTTAGAAAACTCATGAATCCCTAAAGGCGTATGGAAAGGCATTAAACAACCTGAATGTTAATGCATATTCGAATGATTCATGTTCAAATACACCTTCTATAGCCTTTTTGGCCAGGTTCTTGCGCAAAGAAAAGTTCGGCGCCTACGATTTCGGCTGTTTTTGCCGCCAAATGCTTAGAAAGCGCATGAATCCCTATAGACATACCTTAATGCATTTGCCGTCTTCCCATGCTCTTGCTGGCTTGGTAATAGGTCCAACGACACAGCCGCGTGACCGAACGGAAAAAAATTCTTGCCATTTTTCTCTCACATGTCACTTGTTCTCTCCATACGTGTCTCATATGTCGCTTGTCATCGCCATCTTTTTCTCATCGAACTTCCAACGCGACATCGAGCGCGAACATTCAACCCGAACATGTCAACAAGAACTAGGCAAGAATGATTGAAAGGAGAGGGATTTCACTAGCAGCAGTTGGGGTACATATAGCAAACCCTAACTGGGTTGTACTCGCTATAGAGCACCCCACTACAGGCTAGACAATAATAACATTCTGACACACCCCCATAGCCAAAGTGGGGTGTAATCAGTACAATGAGCAGGCATAGCAATAGGTCACAATTATAAGCAAAGCTAGAGGTGATCATAGAGGGCAAGTGAGGAGGAGGAGAGACTGTGAGGGCGAGAAGATGAAAGGCGCCGACTGAAGCTGCAGACACACGGGCAACAGGAGCGGCGCGCACAGTGGCTACCGAGCGCACGAGGGCACCGGACTACGGGAGTATCTGGCTCCGCGGCTACGACGAGCACACACAGGAGCAACGGACCCACAGGCGACTGGCGAAGCAGGCTCGCTGGGCTACCGAAACGCGCGAGGGCATCCGGACTACTGGCGCTGCTGGCGTCACGACGGCTACCTCCACGCAACCTCCCCCGACCGTCCCACGCCCCTCTCACACACCCCCTGCTGACACCCTAGCTCCACTTCCACGGCACCCCCCTTAAACCCTAAACCCTCGGCTCCCACACACCCACCCCCCTCAGCGGCAGCTGCAGCAGTGGGAGACGGAGGAGGAGGAGGAGCCGCAGGTTACCCACACCGGTCACCCCCATGCCCGCCACCCCCAAACCCTAACGCAGGCAGGAGCGCGGGAAACAGCAGGGGCGGGGCACGGAGGGAAAGGGAGGCAGCGGGGTGGCTCTTGGGCGCCACGAAGAAGCAGGGCGCGGGCCCCCCGAGGGCGCCACGGCGGGTGACGGGAGGGGGGCCGCGCACGGGCCCCCGAGGGCGGCTCGACGGGCGACGGGAGGGGCCGCGCGCGGGCCCCCTAGGCGCCGCGACGAGGCGACGGGAGGGGGCGGCGCGCGGGCCCCCAAGGTGCCGCGACGAGGCGACGGGAGGGGGGGGACGCGCGGGCCCCCAGGGCGCCGCGACGAGGCGACGGGAGGAGGACGACGGGGGGCAGCGCGCAGGTCCCCGGGGGCGCCACGACGGGCAGGAAACCGCCGCGCGCCTCGGGGCGCACGGCGGGCAGAAAACCGCCGTACGCCCTGAGCGCACGGCGGGATGAAAAACCCTAAAATTTTTCGCCGGCAGGAAGAAGACGGCGCGCGCCCGAGGCGTGCGAGAAGCAGAATAGCAGCGGAAGCAGTTAGGTGGCGGGCCCACCCACAGGATCGACCCAAGGGGGTCGACCTGCTCTGATACCATGTCAACAAGAACTGGACAAGAATGATTGAAAGGAGAGGGATTTCACTAGCAGCAGTTGGGGTACATATAGCAAACCCTAACTGGGTTGTACTCGCTATAGAGCACCCCACTACAGGCTAGACAATAATAACATTCTGACAGAACATCGAGCGCGAACAACAATATCCAGCGCAAATATCTAGATTTCAACATCCAACTCGAACTTGTAACGCGAACCTGGACAAACTTCCAATAGGAACTTTGTGTACAATGCTAACTTTCAACGCGAACTTCCAGCGCGACGTTTCAGTGGGAACTTCCAGGAGGAACTTCGAGACTTCCATCAGGAACTTCCAAGAGGAGATGAAATGGAGGGGGAACAGAAAACGGGATGATAAAGGGATTTGTCCCAAAACAGCATAATCGACATATCCAGTACTGTGCAAAACTCTATATTGGATTCCATATCTTCAGAATGAGTACTTGTGGGTGCCATCTCCACTGCTATAAATGGCACAATGGCTGCTTATGCTTGGTACTGCATACATGTGGCAAGATTTGAAAATACTGCAGTTAATAACGTCTTAGCGTTTCGTACACTGACGGGCTGCTTATTCAAAATAATGCGAGGCAACCACCCTTTCACCCCCCCAGCAGTCCCCAAGACCACCAAATCTCGGGACACCAACCGTTAGCACAAGGGGTAAGGGGTATTCAAGAGGGTAGTCAGACAACGTCCGAGAGCACAAGGTCCATGGAGGCCGAGCGGCCAACAGGTGAAGAGGAGGGGCTTGATAAGATGGGCACCAGAGGTGACGCATGCGAGGTGAACGAGGAAGCGGGTGTTGAAGAAGCGGGCGAAGACGACGGAGGGAGTGGAGGCAAGAAGACAGGCTCGCTGGCTCCGTCTCTCCTCGCGCTTCACCCGTCAGGCTCGCCTGTCTTTGCCACCGCGGGTGCCGCTGTCCGAGGCTTCGATGTTAGGTAAATTATGTCAAGTTATAGCACCAGATCGTTAGGGCCTGATAGCCTCGAGGCCATGGTATTGTGCTGACTGATTCGGAGTGGCCCTAAGGTTGCTAAATTCTTAAGCTTTCACATTTTCGTTCATGCAGTTCGGGTTCGGCGGTTTCGTTCAAGAGCAGTGACGGTACGGAGCAGGCAGTGTCGCATGGCGACGCCGTGCGAGCCATCTGCGTGGACCCCACTGGCCGTGTCATGGCGACGGCGGGCGACGATAAGATCGTCAATCTCTGGGTCAGGGAGGAGCAGTCGCCGTCGAACAGCTGGATCTGCTGCCATAAGGAGTAAGTGGAGGTCTTGAATTCGGGTTTGGAGGGCTTCTGTACCGTACATACATTGTCGGTGTGCGTTGTTCCGGATGATCTAGGCTTTCATAACAAAAGCTGATGTCATCCCTTTTATTTTCTTTGTGTGCGCGCACGTGCGTGTGCGTGTGTTTGGTTGTTTCTTTTCTCTTTTTTTTTTCATGCGCTGCGTGGGGGCGTCTTGTTTCCTCAGGAAGGTGTCGAAGCGAGTGAGCGCAAAGGGGTTCAGCAACGACGGTCGCTGGCTGCTATTCGCCGACAAGTTCGGCGTCGTTCACGCTCTCGCCGTGCCGTCGCCGACCGACATCGCTGCTCGGAGCGGACAAGGGGGCGAAGGCAAGCGAGCTGTGGAGACAGCGAAGCAGCTGCTGGGCCACTGCTGCAGCATCATCACCTGCCTCGTACGTCCATGCATTTTCGAGAAAATGATACGAACTATTGCCTCATTTCGTGCATCTGCTTGGCCCTTCAGTTTCTGTGTTTTATTCTGCAAAATTCCTTGTAAATCGAAGAGTTCATTTGAGAGGTCTGTCCTGTGGTTTTCTCTTTTGCTTCCCGACTTGTCGTCGCAGGCGGTGTCGCACGGCAATCGCTTCATCGCTACCGGCGATCGGGACGGAAAGATTCGTGTAGGTGCGTTGTGGTACCCAGTGCTGGTTTGAGCTTGCGTGAGTTTCTGCACTGCTGTCTAAGCCCCGGCTTTGATTTTGTTAGATGTACCGGAAGTATTTCACTTCTTTACAAGGTACAACAATTCTAGCAGCATTTTTGCCTGACTCGCTAGGCTTCTCTTTTTGCAGGTGTCGGTGTTCCCGAACCATCCTCTGGAAGGCGCGCATGAGATCCAGAGCTTCTGCCTCGGGCATACAGGGTACGGTGCCATGGAGTTCGTGCCTGATATCTGAGCATGCTCAAGCCCGCCCTCTGTGCGTCTACACTTTCGTTCCGCCATTCTTTCCCGAGATTGCCATTTATACGTTGCGATTGCCACCTCCCGAACAATCTTGTCCATTCAATTCCTTGTTTACTTACTCTTATTGCTATCATTTCTTCGAATGCACCCGTCGCCAGATTCCTGACAGCACTAGCCTTTGTTGGCGAGCCTGCGCCGGCCAAGCACCGCGAGACTGATGGCGCCGTTGCTGCCGCCGACGGGTCGCAGCAGCTGCTTCTTTCCGCCGCGGCTGACGGAACGGTCAGTGTTTTTTCGCTCTCCCTATCCCCTTGCTGCGCTCTCGCTTTCCATTCCTGTGCTTCCTTCGGCATTTCTCGACGTGTCTTTTGCACCTATTTGATTCTCCCAATCCCTGACTCTCCGCTGCTGCAGGTGCGCCTGTGGGACCCTTCAGACGGCCGCTGCCTTCAGGTGCTGCGCATGCCGCCTCCGCCATCGTCTGCGCAGGCGGAAGGGCCTTCCCCCATGGCGGTGGACTCCGCGGGCGCGCGCGGAGGACAAGCGGAAGCGGAGGCGGGAGGCACGGCGGAGACCGAGGGCGTAGTTAATCCTGAAGAAGACGCAGGGGGGAGCAGGGGTGGGAAGGCAGGATCAACAGCGGATGGTTCGTCGCTGGTGGCAGTGGCGGTCGATCCGAGTGGCTGCTTGATTGCTGGAGCTGTTGCCGGGTAGGTGCTTCGCTAGGCGAGCCTGCCAGCATTGCAGACATTCGGGCAATGCTGATTGTCACATTGTCGTCTGTTCCTTATTGTCTCTATGCTCTCCACTAACATCGCTTCCCTCTCACTCCCCGTTCTTTCCCCGTTCTCTGCTCTACTTTCTTCTCTTCAGCTCGCCACGCGTGTGTTTGCTCCGCTTCGACCCTGCGGCTCGCACACTGCAAATTGTTCAGGTGTGTTTTATCCTCCATGTCGTTTTTGCCTCTCTGACGGAGTCCTTTATCCATGTCCGTCTGTCTGTTCGTTGGTCCATGTGTGGAAACGCGTCGTCAGCCCACTTGGCAGGCATCAGTCCGCCTCACGCGCAGTCCTTGAGAGCGCCTATCCGTGCTGCCTGCGCCTCTCCCCCTCGGGGGCAGAGCCAGGCGCACCCATGGAAGGATTTCGAGTCATAACTGCGCCAAATCAACCCCTTGCAGGCTCGACGCAGGTCCGGTTGGTTCCTTCGCAAGAAGGGGCTCCGGGCCTGTTGTCGAGGTCCTGAGGGAGGCTCGTGCAGATAGAAACAGACGCGGCTTGCCGCCCATTTGCTCATGGCTAGACGGGCACGTTGGTTCCCTTATTCCCCTCCTCCCTCTGCCTTTTCATTAAGGCGGGTGTGTTTCTGGAGGGGAGTGAGTGGGCTGGTGTGTTCGCTCTGCTGTGATGCTGTGTGTGGGTTGTGCATCCTTTCCGCTCTGCTTCTCACTTCACGATTCACATGCTCATAGCAACCGTATCATCCATGCATGCCCTGGTTGCTTGCAGCCAGTGCTGATTCTCCTGTTAGTCTGGTGTATGTCGAGGTTCCACATCCTGCTGTCGCACACTCCCTGACCTCACACCCCACTCCTTTGCTCTACACTTTTGCGTTGCAGTGCGTCACGCTCAACGATGGAGTGCCAGCCACCAGTCTTTCCTTTGCTCCGGATGGCAAGATTTGGACTGTAGCAGGAGCTGCAGAATCGCTTCCCAGCGAGGACAGTGTCATGACTCCAGAAGCAGAGGCAGCAGCTGCTGCCACTGCTGCCCGGATAGCCCTCGCTGCTGTTGCTCGTGTTCTAGTCCTGGGCGTGGCCCCTGCTGCTGCTCATGCTGCTGATAAGACTTCTGGAAATGCTGCTGCTGATGCCACCGGAGCATCGGGGGGAGAAGCTGAAGGGGATTCAGTGGGGATGAAGTATCAAGTGCTGGCTGATGGTGAAGTGCCAGGTGGTAAAGATCTCTTGGCTGCTCTTCAGGGTTCTGTGTCTGAGGATGTGGCAGCAGTGGCCAGGGAGGCAGCCAAGGGGGCAGTGGATGGGCTGTGGGGAGCAATGAAGAAGAAAGAGTATGGGGAGGATGAGAGGGAGTGCAGAAAGCGGAGGCGCAATGACAAGAAATTGAAAGCTGTCAATTGAGCGTTTGTGGTTGTACTGGGTTTGTGATTTAAACGGATCACCTGGTTTGTTTCTGAAACAATGGTGGAAATCATTGGCTTATGATGGTTTAGCTGTAGAAACGATAACAGCTTGCTGTTTTAACGAAATTGAATAGCCTGCCGATAGCGATACAGTCGCCCAGCCCAGCATGTCATCGTGCAAAGCAGCACTCTGGGAGGTAGTCATACCGTAGCAGTGGCAGTCTTGCTGACAGTCCCTGTCATTCAGTCGTGACGTTTTCTGGCGTTCACTGTTCTTGTCTGCGACGTATAGATGCCGTGTCTGTCCGTGTTCTGTCCTAGGTTTCTCTGTTCGTGCAAACTGCACATACGTGTTGTTGCCTCGCCTCTCACGAGTCACACCACGCCAAGCGCACCAGTTTCCCTCCCTCCCCTCGACAAGAGCACTAAAGGCTGCGGCTACGCATGCGAGCGTCTTGCGCGTCGGACCAATGGCGTATGTCTGACTGCGCTCGCGTGCCAGTTAGTTAGGGGCATTTCGACGGATAATCCTTTCCGTGTCTCTAATTTCCGGCTGGAGTAGCACCGAGCCTGCATTGATCAGCCAGTCACGAGTATTTGTTTGGTTCAATAGGAAGCATAATTTTTGTGCTGGGTAGCATTTTCCGCCTGAGATGACCCTGTGCAAGCCGGCGTTAATGCTAGGTACAGATAAAGTTTACCGCCAGATTAGGTCATAGGTTAGCGCTATTTCGCGTCTTCGACATATTTATCTGCTTCGCGCGTTTCATTCTCGGCTGGACATATCAAATACCTATCAAGAATAGTAGATTTATCTAAGCATAAGCTCCGATCGTGTACGACATTTTCGCCGGTCCATGCGACATGGATACGGCTTAACTCGTAGAAGCGCTATCGCCGGTCACTTCGCAGCTTAGGGGAGTTTTCGTTAGGAGGGAGTCGAAGCGGCATGGGGTGCTGCCTGAGTATAGAGGAGCAATCGGTAAAGATCACCAAGAACAGCACCAGCAAGAGCAGCAAGAGCAGCCAGCCATGGATGTCAGGTATGCAGGTCGCATTTCATGGACGTCAGATACGCTAGTTGAATAACACGTCTTGAATGTTGTACTTGTAATGAAAAGAGGCACGCCGTCAGCGACGGATGCTGGATAAGGAATCACGCAATGCCAGATGTGCGTGATAAAAAAAGGCATTGCTTGAAAAGAATTGCCTTTTAACTGTACGATGCAGCATTTATTCCATGCACGCGCGGAGACACGTTGGGCATGCGAAGCAGGCAGCTTCTTCGACCTCTCCCCCTCCCCCCCTGCGTGCTGCTCCCCCGCTCTTCCCCCCAACTCCCCTGCCCGCCCGTCCAGAGCAATCCGCGCGCGGCAATGGCGGCGAGCAGTCGATTCTAGCGTCCAACCTGCGTCGCTTCACGTACAAATAACGACAGGCCGCCACCAACCGCTTCCTCCATCCTCCCCTCCCTCCTCCCTCTGCCACCCCCCCTCAACCACCCCCACCCACCCTCCCCCCCTCCTCCCCCTCCCTCCCCCCCTTCCCGCTCTTCCCTTTTTCCGCCCTCTCAGAATCCACGGATGGGACGGGCGGGGAACAATCCATCCTAGCATCCAATCTCCGTCGCATATAAAGAGCTGCAGGCCGCCACCAACCGGTTCCGCGATCCCCCCTCCTGTTCCCTTCCCCACTTCCAGAATCCACGGACGGGAGCGGCGGAGAGCAGTCCATCCTAGCCTCCAATCTGCGTCGTTTCACATACAAAGAGCTCCAGGCCGCCACCAACCGCTTCCGCGATGAGAGCGTGCTGGGCGCGGGCAGCTTCGGCAAGGTGTACCGCGGAGCCATGGAGGAGTGGCTGGGCGAGCTGCCCAAAGGGGAGAAGCGGCCGCTCGCCATCAAGATGCTGGATGAAGAGAGCTTCCAGGGCTTCGGCGAGTGGATGGTGAGTGAGTGGGGAGAGGGATAGGGATGGTATTGGGACGGAAGGTGTACCGCGGAGCCATGGGTGGGATGGGCGTGAAGGCATGAGGGGCAAGGTGTACCGCGGGGCCATGGAGGAGTGGATGGGCGAGCTACCCAAAGGGGAGAAGCGACCGCTCGCGATCAAGATGCTGGATGAGGAGAGCTTTCAGGGCTTTGGCGAGTGGATGGTGAGTGAGTGGGAGGGGGATGGGTGGGGCATTGAGAGGCAAGGTGTACCGCGGGGCCATGGAGGAGTGGATGGGCGAGCTGCCCAAAGGGGAGAAGCGGCCGCTCGCGATCAAGATGCTGGATGAGGAGAGCTTCCAGGGATTCGGCGAGTGGATGGTGAGTGAGTGGGAGTAAGGGAGATTGGGGGGGAGGAAGGGCAGGGGTGGAAATGGTGGGTGGGGGAATGGGGGATTGTGTTGGTCAGTGATTATATCCCCCTCCCCTTTTCTCCCTCCCACATGCTCCTGTTCCCAGGCGGAGGTGCTACTGCTAGGTCGGCTGCAGCACCCGAATCTGGTGCGGCTGCTGGGGTACAGCACGGACAGGGACGAGGCAGTGCTGGTGTATGAACTGCTCGAGAACGGCAGCCTTGACTCCTGGCTCTTCCCAGGTGGGGTGTGAGGGTTCACATCACACACATACAGCACGGACAGGCACAGCGAATTGGAAGCGAGCTAGGGTTCAGACTACAGCCCGCGTGTTTATCTGTGTCAAGCACAGCACGGACAGGGACGAGGCAGTGCTGGTGTACGAGCTGCTGGAGAACGGCAGCCTCGACTCCTGGCTCTTCCCAGGTAATCCATCCACCCTCCCTCACTCCTGCCTCTTTCCAAGTACCCTCGCCCTCCGGCTGCTCTCCTCTCCTCTCCTCTCCTCTCTCCTCCTCCTCCTCCTCTCCTCTCCTCTCCTCTCCTCTCCTCTCCTCTCCTCTCCTCTCCTCTCCTCTCCTCTCCTCTTCTTGCGTTACAAATACCGTATGCCTTCAGCGTATTCCTTACCGAGCGTCACCATTTGGCCCTCCCACACGCCCCCGTTCCTTCCCCAACCCGCGCCAAACAACAGCAGGCGACCACACTGCCCACTCACGTGGGAGGAGCAGTGCAGGAAAATGTATGCGACCCACCAAGTTCAATCCCCTCACCCCTCCTCCTTCACCCCTTTAATGACCTCCAGACGACCACACAGGCGAGTACAAGCACCGACCGTCCACTCACGTGGGAGGAGCGCGTGCGGATAGCCCCGTGTGCCCCACCATGCTCCCTTCTCCTCTGTCCCTGTCCTCCCCCCCCCCCCCCCCCCCTCTTTTCCCCTCCAACGACCTCCAGACGACCACACGGGCGAGTACAAGCACCGACCGCTCACATGGGAGGAGCGGGTGAGGATAGCGCTGGATGCAACACAGGGCCTGGCGTATCTGCACTCGGAGAACGTCATTCACCGCGACTTCAAGTCCTGCAACGTGCTGCTCGATAAGGTGCGGTGCGGTGGGGTGCGGTGGGATGTGGTGGGATGGCGTGGCATGCGGTGGGGTGTGGTGGGGTGCTGTGGGGTGAGGATAGCGCTGGATGCAACACAGGGCCTGGCGTATCTGCACTCGGAGAACGTGATTCACCGCGACTTCAAGTCCTGCAACGTGCTGCTCGATAACGTGCGGTGCGGTGGGGTGCAGTGGGATGCAGTGGGATGCATTAAGTGTGTTGTTCTTTCAGAATGAGCAACTGAACCTACTTGAAATGTCTCTCAATTCATCTCCTCCCCATCTTCTCCCCGTTTCCTTCCTCCCACCATGCTCCCCTCCCCTCCACATGACACCCGTGATACGGCAGGACATGCGGGCGAAGCTGACGGATTTTGGCATGGCAACGATGGGACCGGAGTCAGGGCAGACACACATCTCCACGCGCGTCATGGGCACCATGGGGTACCTCGACCCCAAGTACCTTGAGACGGGTACGCTCCATGCGTTGCGCCCCGAGCCCCCAATGTCACTCTCCTTCTTGTGGTGGGCTAGGAATCGCTCGCGAGCTGCGCTTCCATCCTCGCCCTCCACATGTCATGCTGTGCATCACTCCACATGACTTCATCCCCGCCAGGCCATCTCACGCCAAAGAGTGACATTCACGCTCTTGGAGTGGTCTACTTTGAGCTCCTCACCGGCCCTGCCTTTCCCCTCCACGCCCCCCTCCCCACAACTCCCTCCCCACCCTACCCCAATGCCCTTGCCCCCAGACCATCTCACCCCAAAGAGTGACATCTATGCTCTCAGAGTGGTTGACTTTTAACTCCTCATCGGTCCCCCGCCCTCCTCGTACCCTCCCCTCCGTCTCCCCCCCCTTCCCCCCTCTCGTTGCCCCCGCCAGGCCATCTCACCCCAAAGAGTGACATCTACGCTCTCGGTGGAGTTTACTTTGAGCTTTTCACAAGCTTCTCACAAGCTTCCGTTCCGCATATGCACCCCCCTCCCCATATTTCCCCACTCTCCGCCAATCCCCCTTGCCCCCACCAGGCCATCTCACCCCAAAGAGTGACATCTACGCTCTCGGAGTCGTCTACTTCGAACTCCTCACCGGCCGGCCTCCTTCGTCTGGAGGTGAAACCGACGACTGCAAGCTGACGACGTGGGTGCGCGCACACGTGGCGCAGCGACGACCGAATCTCGACGCAGTCATGGACGAGCGGCTAGAGGACAAATACTCCCGCGTGGGCGCGCAGAAACTGCTCGTTCTCGCCAAGCACTGTATCAACGAGGATCCAGCCGGGCGGCCGCAGATGGAGAATCTGATCAAGACGCTGCAGCAGCTGATGACGCTGCCGGTTGGGGACGAGGGGAATGGGGCGGCGGGGGGGAGAGGAGGGGGAGGGGCGGGGGGAGAGCTAGGCGCACCCATCCCTCCAAGGACCCCCACTGGATAGCACCATGGGGCTTTCCACGGGTCCGACGCGTTGGGTCGTTGACGGTGGGTGGGGGGGGGGAGTTCATACCATGCATGGTGATGATGGTGGTGAGTGTGCTCGTAAGATGGGTGGTGGTGGGTGCGCTTGTAACCCCAGATGTAACCCCAGACGTCGCAATCAAGAAGAGACTGGTTTTGGCGTGGATGGTTCGAGGGGTGAGAGGTTAGGCTTGGATATGGTGCAACGGCAGGATTGGAAGTTGAGGGGCTAAGACAGGCAATTCGCTTCGAAGTATGCACCATGCAAAGCATAGGCTGAATGTTCACAAGATTAGGAAGATAGGCGTGTGGCGAGAAAGATTTGTGTGATTAGTACCAAGAAATCCTAGTGGCAGCCTGTCAGATTCTAGATTTTGTTTAGGCTTTTGTGTAATACCTTGGTCATCGTACCAATATTCATATCCGTAGGGCCTCAAGCGTGACTCGTTTCTACGCGCGTTGTCAGTCCAACTCTCTAACGAGAGTGGGCAACAGTTCGCGGACCTGGGACACCCAGATACCGTCCACCGCATGGCACTCCTCTTCTACCTAGAGATTATCCTCTTCTCCCAGTTCTAGTCGCTTACTGGCGATCCGGGTCGCGTACTGGCGTTTCTGTCGCATACTAGTCGCATACTGGCAGTCGTAATCGCATCCCGGCACTCCTGGTAGTGTCGCCGACTTGCGTTACGTTTGTCTCGTCACCACCAGCGCGACAATTCCGCCTCTCACCTGCCGACTCGGCGTAACCATTCTGTCGCCAGCCTCCGTACCGCGACCCAGTGACGTCACGTCATGTGCGCGGCTGCAACCAGTGACGTCACGGGCTCACACAGTGACGTCATGTGCACGGACTGCATGCCGTAATGATCGCTTTTCATCGTTAGGCTCGCGTCGTTCCCGTCATTCTCGTCAATCCGATCTTGGCCAGCGACTCAGTTTTTGGACACAATTCGCCATGGCGCAGCTTCCCCACGATCCTTCTGCTGCCTTCCCCCCACTCCACCACAACAGCTTCCCCTCGCATCCGCATTCTCTCCTCCCGTCGCTGCCCCCGCACGCGCACCATCTCTCCCTCCCCCACTACCAGCTCCCCCATCTTCCCCCGCTCCCCCTGTCCGCGCCTTTTCCGCCTCATTTTGCGCCCGCGGGGGAGCTTTTCCCCCACCCGCACGCGCACTTGGCGCATCTGCCCTTTCCCCACTACCCGTACATTTCCCCGTTGCACCACGCGGGATATGCGGTCGCTCCGCACGGCAATCTCGACGGAATCGCGGTCGCGCACTCCGGCGCGATTCCCGGCGGAATCTCCGGCACAATTCCCGGCGCATTTTTCGCGCTTCACGCGGGAACGCCCCCGTTAACCCCGGCGCACGAGGCCCCCCGTCAGGACCCGCAGTTAGCGCGCGGAAGCGGTGGCGGGGGAACGGAAAGCGCGGAGGGGGGACGCGCGGATTGCGCGCGCGCACTGAATGGCGGAGCAGCGGCGCTGCGCGATTCGGGCTATCCGGAGCGGGGGGGAGCGGAGCGTAGGGCGGAGGAGGGGAGGGGCGCGGTGGAACTGGGGGAACCGGGGGAAGAGAGAGAAACCGCGGACCAATCAGAGGCGAACGGTGTAGATGTGAGAGGAGGGTTCGAGTGTGACAATGGGGGGGAAGAGGAGGGGCAGGAGACGGAGGGGGTGGAGCTTTTAGAGGGAGTGGAGGAGGGAGCAGGGGGAGATGAAGAAAGGGAGGGGGAGGAGGAAGAGCGGGAGGGCGGGGAGTGTGGCATGGGGGAAGAGGGGCGTGGCTTAGAGGTAGGGAATGGTGGTATAGTGGCAGTGGTAGGTGATGGGACTACAGGGAGGGATGCTGCTGCTGCTGCGGCTGCCACTGGTGATGGTGGTGGGTGTGGGGATTATGGTGATGATGATGTTGATGCTGATAGTGTTGGTGGTGGTGATGATAATAATGATAATGATGATGCTTATGGTGATGATGATGATGAAATTACTGTAGAGGACCTTGGGATTGGAGGGGAGGAGGTGCATGGAATGGACGGTCCAGATGCGATGGTGGGAGGGGAAGGGATGGGGGGAGTGGCAGATGCGGAGGGGGTGTTGGAGTATGCAGTGATGCTGTACGGACGGAATGAAAGCGACCTTGGGATTGCCGTTCAGGATGGGAATCACGAGCAAAATCACGAGCAGCAAGAGCAGCATTGTTTGCATGAAGAGGAGCAGCATGTGAATGACGCCGTTCATGAACCATTGCAACCCATACAACGGCACATGCAATCCCACACACATGCCCATGCCCATCGCCAAACCCATGCACACGACCACCTAAGGACCCATCCAGATACCGCTGCTCCTGGCGTTCTGATTGCACCGCCACTGCAGGAGCAAGAGGCGGAATGCAATGCCAATGGCAATGGCACTGCCAGTGGTAGGGGCAGCGGTAGCGGCAATGGTAGTGACAGTCACAGTTGTGAGGCTGCTGGTGCCGGGGCATCTTATATCACGACAGCCCCTAGAATGGGGTCAGTACAGGGGTTTTTGCCCCTGGCCTTGGATCAGCAGCTGCAGCAGCTGGCCCAAGCAGAGGGGGCACAGCAGGCAGCGCGGGCGAAAGCAGTGGAAGTGCGAGCAGAGGCGGTGCATACAAGAAGAGGCTTGGCGAGGCAGCAAGACCAACAGCAGCATCAGAATCAGCAGCAGCAGCAGGAGAGGGGAGGGTTAAGTAGAGTGCAGGGGGGTAAGGAGGTGCATGTGGGTGCGGCAGGGGGAACAAGGCGACTGCAAGTCGACATTGATGCTGCTGGTACGTGCGTTTCCATGTCATGTCATGCCATGGAAGCAGGGTGTTATGCCTAATGCTACAGGAGCGTGCCTGGTCCGGGAGCGTGCCTGGTCCGGGAGCGTGCCTGGTCCGGGAGCGTGCCTGGTCCGGGAGCCTGCCTGGTCCGGGAGCCTGCCTGGTCCGGGAGCCTGCCTGGTCCGGGAGCTTGCCTGGTCCGGGAGCTTGCCTGGTCCAAATGAGCGGGCGGTGCAGCGTATGAGCGGGCGGTGCAGCGTATGAGCGGGCGGTGCAGCGTATGAGCGGGCGGTGCAGCGTATGAGCGGGCGGTGCAGTGTCTGAGCCTGCAGTGCAGTGTCTGAGCCTGTGGTGCAGTGTCTGAGCCTGCGGTGCAGTGTCTTAGCAGCGTATGAGCGTGCGGTGCAGTGTATGAGCCTGCGGTGCAGTGTCTTAGCAGCGTATGAGCGTGCGGTGCAGTGTATGAGCAGCGTATGAGCGAGCGGTGCAGTGTATGAGCGTGCGGTGCAGTGCGGTGCAGTGTACTCCCTTAATCATTCTCGCAATTCCCTTTTCCTTTCCCCTCCGCACTCTCTTCTGCCACAGTCTTTTCACGGCTGATGCAGCTGGTGCGAGAGCGGTTTGGAGGTAGCTTGCAGCAGTGGATGCATGCTGCAGTTGCCGCCACAGGGGGGCATACCGGCACGGAGTGGGGGAGCGGTGGTGTGGAGCAGGAAGCAGGACAGAGCAGAGGGGACAGAGCAGGGGAGAGAGCGAGGGCAGCGGACGGTGGGAGAGAGGGGGAAGAGGGCATGAGGGGCAGTGGAGGGAGGGCACAGTGTAGGGGGGAAATGGTAGCGGCGAGGGGGATGGGGGGAGGCGGGAATGGGGAGGGGAGAGGGGCGATGGAGATGGGGAGTGATGAGAGGGGTGGGACAGGTGGTGCTGGTGGGGGTGTAGAGCAGCAGAGAGCGAAGAGGAGGCGAATAGAGATTGGGGGGATGGATGCTCGGGAGGTGGGGGGGGAGGTAAGGGCAGAGAGGGCGCACGCGACAGGTCGAGAGGGGGTAGAGGAGGTGGATGGAGAGCAGGTGGGGAGGGAGGAGGAGGGGGATGCATGTGGGGGTAGTGGCGAGGGCGACTGTGTGGAGTGGTTGGGAGAAGAGGGGGGCGTGAGGGGGCAAGTGGGGGGCGTGGGAGGGGGGCAAGAGGGGGGTGCATGGGACAGTGGAGATGATGGGGGAGGGGAGAGAGGGAGAGGCGGAGGAGGAGTAAGAGGAGACCCGGCGGTGAGGGGAGGGGGAAGTGGGCGGGGGAGGGGCGCAGAGAAGGAAGGGGGAAAGGGGAGGGGGAGAGGGGTGCCGTGAAGGGGAGGGGGGCGTTTCTCTCGCGCAGACTTGCTCTGTCCAAGTGGAAACGAATTCAGTGAGTAGGAGAATGAAATGGGTGAGGCTCTGAAGTGACTGAGAGTAACTTTTGAGTCGACTCAAAAGGCGTCTCTCTCGTGCAGACTGGCTCTGAGCGAGTGGCTCTGGCTTTTGAAGCGAATCCAGTGAGTGGGACAATGAAATGGGTGAGGCTCTGAACCGAACGGGGGTTTCCTATATTGCTCAAGCGGCGCCTACTCTGAAGTGACTTTTAAGTCGACTCAAAAGGCGTCTCTCAGGCACAGGCTGGCACTTTCCAAGTGGACGCGAATTCAGTGAGTGGGACTATGGACTGTGCAGCAATAGACCGTGCAGCAATAGACCGTGCAGCAATAGACCGTGCAGCAATAGACCGTGCAGCAATAGACCGTGCAGCAATAGACCGTGCAGCAATAGACCGTGCAGCAATAGACCGTGCAGCAATAGACCGTGCAGCAATAGACCGTGCAGCAATAGACCGTGCAGCAATAGACCGTGCAGCAATAGACCGTGCAGCAATAGACCTTGCAGCAATAGACCTTGCAGCAATAGACCGTGCAGCAATAGACCGTGCAGCAATAGACCTTGCAGCAATAGACCTTGCAGCAATAGACCTTGCAGCAATAGACCGTGCAGCAATAGACCGTGCAGCAATAGACCTTGCAGCAATAGACCATGCAGCAATAGACCTTGCAGCAATAGACCTTGCAGCAATAGACCTTGCAGCAATAGACCTTGCAGCAATAGACCTTGCAGCAATAGACCTTGCAGCAATAGACCGTGCAGCAATAGACCGT